AGTTGAAGTCCATGTATCTTAAAGTTGCTAAGGTTGAGAAACACTGCCCTAGAGAATGTCCAAATCCATTTCACTGAAAATATATCTGTGTTGTCACACAATTCAAGTAGGAAGATGCTGGGACTCAGTTCTTGGGAAATCTTGGGAAATTTAAGGCCCTAAGCTTGATGAAAATATCTCCAGTAGATGACTTAGGACAGAAAGTCCTTTGCTTCAGGCACTGGATTTCTGTTGCTTATCAGTATATTTAATAACAGAAAAGATAGGGGGAGAGAGAATAGGTACCACCGCTAATTTTTAGGAGAGTGCCCCCACCTACTGCTTGCTTCAGCTCTACCCATTTGTATTTCCCTAAGTATTATTGAGGGAGTGCACTGGTAAGTGGAAAAAATAGTTGCCTCCCCAACAGACTTACATTCTCTGCTGGAATGAGTCATCTGTGTATCTTGCATTAATCTTGCAATGTTTCCTCTTGGTTTGGCCAGAATTAAATTCTTTGTGGCCAGAAATGGAGCTTCCTACTGTTTTAGGAGCAGAATTGATTGTTGCTGGTCACCGCAGAAGATCTGTTGATGTGGGACTCACGTTTGACTGAAAATGGTGGACCATTTGATCCTAATGGTTGTACCTTTCTGTCTCCCTGCAGAACATGGCCAGTGTCTCCTCCTTTGGCAAGTACACTCACGCCATCGTCCGCTGCATTCCTTCCTCCTTTGCCACAGCTGAGACCACAGCAGATGGATCTGATGGTGGGGCTGATGTGGTGGATCTAGCCAAGGCTCACCGACAGTATGGCGTCTACACGGGCATCCTGCGCCAGAAGCTAGGGCTGCAAGTAATTGAACTGGCGGCAGATGAGGGACTCCCCTACGCCACGCTGGTGGGGGATCTGGCAGTGATCCAGGGAGATACTGTGCTCCTCACTCGGCCATGGATGTCCATGCGGCGAGACGAGGTAACGTGTACATGTGGCTAATGCCGAATTTAAATCTGTGAAGCATGTTGGTTCTCTTGTTTTGATATTTTGTTTTGATATTGCTGAGGAGATGTTTCTCTTCAAGAATGCACCTGCATGGTTGCCTGGAGGCCATTGCGAAGTGTCATTAGGGATCAGAAAAGAAGCATTTTACAAACCTGGTTGGAGTATAATTCGTTATTTAGATTTATGAAACATGCATTCAGTAGCCTCTTGTCATCTGCAAGGTTTTATTCTTTTTCTTTTGTGTATAATTTCTGTTAAGGATTTTGATTACAGTAGTAAAAACTAATACAAACTAAAAGAAAAGAGAGAGAAAGAATAAAAAGTGCAAGAAAGAAAAGGGAAAAGAAAAGAAAAAATATAATAAAGAAAAAGAAAAGAAATATATAAAGAAGTGACTTCCAACCTTCATTACAACAAGTATAGACAAATTTAGTAACTCTTGTTACTAAACTCGTGTCAGTGAATCTAAGACCTGATTTAACCGATTAAATGCCCCAAATATTTTTTTAATCTGTAGTAAACTTTTTTAAAAAAAAAATTAGAGTAAAAAACAATAGTAAAGAAAACACAGTGCATATTTTAGAATATTACCTTTACTGACGTTGCCTTTTTAATATTTCCCCTAGGAAATTACTATCACATACATCCGTGAGATGCAATTTGTGATTTTTCATTTCAGGAGAGGTAGAGATAGGCACCTCTGATCTCAATTTTTCTCAATCATCCTCCATTGTGAGTAGAGGTATCTGTGCTTGAGCTCACATGCCTAAGTTATTGATGTGGTCGCTCTCATTCCACCTCTTGTGAAAAGAACCATCACGCCTGATGAAACATCTTTCATGGGTTTTCCTTGACTCATATTTAGGGGATCACATAAGACAAGTTTGCATACAGAACATTTCTTGCAGGTCCTCAAATTTGCATATGGTCAACTCAAGTATGGTGAGAGTTGCGATACTATAGTAGTAATACTCGTGTCAGCCTATTAGGGTTTGTTTTGCTATTAAGTTCTATTGAGGTTGAGTAGAATTCTGGATTACATCAGGGGAGGAGTTCCTCCAAGTTTGTTACAGTGTCAGTTTAAAGACATGGAAAAGGGAATAATGGCCAGTAAATGTGCTGCGGCTTACTTCGGAGCAAATGTGCACCTTATGGAAGTGGGAGACTGTGTAAGTACTAGGGACTGTGTTTTGTCATAATTTGGCATGCTGTGGGTTAGTTCATAAAAGTAGGTTGGGCTGGGGCACGGCCCAAATGGACAGGGACAGTTACAAGTTGAGAAGTAGGGCAGAAATTATTATATCTAAAACAAATTAAAACTAATATATATTTTTTTTGTCTGCGCTCAGTCATTGCTGACCCTGCAGTGACTGCTTGGACAAGTCCTTGC